AAACTCAATATGGCATTTTATTATCTGTTATTATGAAACACACTGGGAAGGGTAAGGATGGTAAATAGCAAAACATTCGACTAAGATAAAATGCTGAATGTAAGTAGTCACTCAAACTTACTTTTTCACACAGTAGCCTTTCCGAGATTCACAGCACATAGACACTTAGCCCACAGTCTGATTAGGTTTGCTCTGTCTTCAGGTAAGATTGTACAGTAGCAGCCATGGAGACAGTGTCACTTCAGCGTTTCCTTATGGAAGACCAAGATACTCTCACAGCGTGTCATGGGGGCTGGAACCCAACAGGCAATGGCATTTCTGAGGGTTCCGAGTTTTCCTTTGTCATTAGCTCTTAGTACGACAAGGTCTTTCCCAACCTCAAGGGACATCGTGTATGCCACTAGTATTTAACTCTTCTACAGCTGGCATCCAGCAGTACCCATAGGGTCCCACCATAGCAGTGAGAAGAAAGGGGCGAGGAGGAGAGCATAGGTGGTTGTTAAAAAATGACTGTTACTCTGATTAAATTCCAACAGAACTGAAGACTTCCCACTTTTAGACAATTCTCGGTGACACAGTTCTTAGGAAAGAAATTATATTTTGATTCTTAGAATTAGGTTGTCTGTATTGAGCTGAGTATTTTTTTTTTTTTTCAGGAGCGTATTTGCTTTACTCTAACTGTATTGATTTACAGCCACTTTTCAGGGAAAGACATTCGTTTTCTCAGGTTCTTGACTCTTTGTGTTGTCTAGTGGTTTTCTTTAGTGGTGAGCACAGATTCATTTATAAGATAAATTTTCTAGACTGGTCATTAAGAGACATTTAGCTGTCATATGCTATTTCATTTGCATAGTCTTCCCCATTTTTACTGATCTTCTGCCTCTACTGCTTCCTTACTTGACCTATCTTCAATGTTCGCCTGTCTTAACTTAGAGCTCAGTTACCCTGGGTAAGGCCAACTTCTGAAGAAATAATTTTAACAGAACACATGCTAGTGTATAAGCCAGGCTTGGGGAATTTGGGAAGGCTCTTTGATGGAATTGGATGTCATGTAATCTGTGACTCAAAGGAGAGATAGGGGCATAGTGAGAGGGAAACGGGGCAGCGATACCCTGTGACAGAGAAGGTCACTGCAGTTGCTGGACTTTGGTCCTGTGTGGTTTAAATGATGATGGCTAAAAAGATGAGAGTGTTCATAATGACCTGCAGAAGCTCATGAAGGTCTTTGAGCATGAAGTAGAAAAGTTCGAGTTTTGTTTGGAGAATATGCAGAAACTATTTCAGAGTTTGAAAGGGAGAATAACACCATTCAGTTTTTACTCTAAGAAATGCCTCTGGGAAAGTTAGAAAATGCTCTGAGTGAGTTAATTTTAGAAAAAGAGAAGAAAAATAATGATTTTTATTTTTATTTTACTACGTTTTGTTACATGGTGCTATTATTTCTAAAATGTTTTGCGGTGATGATATAGTCTTCAAAACACTGGCTCACTTACTGGAATGCAGTGACACATACCAAATATATACTAAAAAATCTCTTTGAAAGTTTTAAGGCTGGAGTCACCACAAGCAAATATCCTGTGGCAGTTTGCCATTGTCCTGTGTGACTTGTGCAGTTGAGGTGGCAGGCTGGAGGCCCCTCTTGTACATCTGTACAACTACCTACTTTTATACAGAAAATCATCGCTGAACTAATCTCCCTTCTAGTTACATGCTAATTAAAATACCCAGTATTAAAAAAGGCATTCATCTTGAAAGCATTCTGCACTGCCTGTATAATTCTCAACAAAGAAGACAATTGAAAACAGTGTCTATTTTAAAAGCCTTTTTTCCCCCTCTAGCCCAAAGAGGTTCGAAAAACAAGTTAATTTGAGCATAAGATTATTTAGCTAATAACAGGTAACTCCACGAATCTCCATTTTTACGTGATCAAACTTAAAAAGACAAAGAACGAGCAAGGCTTTGTGTGAAATAAAAACTACAGCTTATTATCAATGAAAAGATTATAGTTCCTGTCAAAAGCTTCACAGTTCCTCTAAGTGGTCCCTTCACAAGTACAAATGAGAACTAGCTTTATTTAAATTAAAGAGAAAACACATGAGATTCACTTTTAACTATTGCCTTAACATTCCCCCAGTAGCAAAAAGTAAAAAAAAAAAAAAACAAAAAAAACCCCTATCATTTAAAAAAAAAAATCACCTGAAAATATTCAAGATATCCTTGCATTGCAGTGATGACACATTCACATGAATTTTTGAAAATGCTTAGCATTGTTAAGTATTTAATTTTCAATTTATTTTTACCTCCCAATGGTGTTTTCCATATATTTTTGCAGATATCTAAATATGTTTTAGTCTCGTTTTGTTTTTTCTAATCTAAAGCATTGTGTTCATTTAACATTTTGAAACATTTTGTTAAAAGTTAGTTAACCCATAGCAAACATCAGAGTTGATCACTGTATTTTATGAACCCTGAGCGTTTATTTTGAAACAGTCAAACACTAAACAGGATGACCATTCTACTCTGCTGTAGCTGTCAGGAAAATACTCAAAACCCTACTGTGTTCACTCACCAATGGTGACGGACTCTGGGTACAGCAGTGACTTGGGAAAGAAAGGAAAAAACTATACAAGTTTCAGATAGAGGGAAGAGACCCATTCAGCCAAGCTTAGCAATTTGGGGTATATAATATACTTGGGAGAGGAACAGAAGAGAGACACTCTGCCTTCTTGTCTCAATTTGAAGCAGTCGTAGTTATAATAGCCTACATTACCATTCCCCCTGTCCACTTTTCTTTCATATACAAAGAAAACAAAGAGAAGGCAGAAAACTGAGAAGGTAAGGCAAACAAAGAAAACACAAAGTCAGAGAGCCTCACGATAGGAATGCTACGATTACAGTCATTTGATGTTTGGAAATCAATATCCTCTGCCTCTGGCATATCAGTGCTGGACTGGGAAGTTTTATGTACAGCAAAGTCTTTCTGATGAATGTGGGATCTCTCCTGAGGCAACCGAGGGTAGACAATCAGACTTTTATCACTCTAAAGTTAGTTTACATCAGGTAGACCTCGAATGACCGCAAACTTGTCAAGGACTCCCCAAAATTTTTTATTATGAGTTAAGCTTACACCAGGCTAGAGCCAGTGAGTGCCCTTGTAGTCTCCTGTCAGTAAGAGAAGCTGGTAGTTTTGATTTCTAGTGCTACAAATTCAGTGTGTATATGTAGTGCACTTTGACAACCCCACAGTAAGAATATAAATATATTTGTCCAGGAAGAGAATTCTGTTAAGGAGTATTCCCTTATTGAGAGTGGATAACTTTGATGTGCTTCCATTCATTTATCACTAACCGTCTTTACTTGGCATTTAGAATACATTTCCTCATATAGAAAAATATTCTTTAAAATGATGTAGCAATATAACTTCTTAGGAAGTACTTGACACTTGCATTAGTAAGCCAAGTTTGATTGTTTTTTAAAGTTGGGTTGTGGATGAATTTCTAAACAGTCTTATTAAATAAAAAACGCAGAGTCAAATATAGGGGTGAAAACCTTAGAGATCAGGGAAATAGGAATAGCCACTAGCCAACCTTACCTCACCAGCTCTGCAGGTTCCAAATGCGAGCTAATTCCTGTCTACTCACGCCTTTATATGCCTTGCTTTTCTTCCCTCTCATTGGCTCTTAGCCCAGCTACCTCACTTCCTTGTCACTGCCTGTCTGTACAGACCTCCAGGTCTCTATGGTTGGTACTGGGATAAAAGGCATGTGTCACCACTCTTAGCTCTGTTCCCTAGTGTGGCCTTGAACACACCAAGACACTGCCTGATAAGTGATCGGATTAAGGGTGTGTGCTACCTGGTTTTGTTTACTTAAAATGGCTGGCCTTTTCCTCCTGATCTGCAGGCAAGCTTTATTTATCAAAGCACAAATAAAATATCACTACATTTCAGCACAAATAAAATACCACCACATTGGGTTAGTGCTCAAAGTGTGTGGGTAGACCACTGAGGTGCTCAAGTGATGTGTAGTAAGAGATTATAATCAGAATTGCTCTTTTTGAGATTATAACAAAATTACAATATTTTTCCCTTCCCTTCTCTCCCTCCTACCCCAGCCATATACTGCTCCATGCTCTTCTTCAAATCTGTGATCTCTTTTTTCATTAATTAAGTATGTAAAATCTCCATTTTTGTTCTCTCTCTGTCATTTTATTCTTTTGCCTTTGTCATATTTAGAAACTTACATTCTCTAATATATTAATTATTATAAGGGAGGATTTATTTTGGGTCACAGTTTGTTCATTGTTGTCTAGCATGGCCAGCAGGGCATGACAAGGGTTGAATCTGTCCAAGCAATGGGAGTCTGAGTCAGCTTGCTCACGCCTTTCTCCTTGAATCAGAGAGCTCCCCTAGCACCTGACAGAGATAAAACCCATAGCCGCCCCCCCCCCACCCCCAGCTGGCCGGACTCCTTCTAGCTAAGCATCACTTCCTACAAATTATACACAAACCAGGGTCACCATTCATGGACCAAGTTGTCACAAAAGAGCTTGTGGTGGAATCTTCACTTTCAAACCATAGCATCTAATATGAATATAATATCTTAACTTTTTTCCAGATCAAGTTTGAAATTCTAAATAGAGGGTTTAAGGTTTTAATTCGCTGTTGACAGAAAGCATTAAGAAGTTTACAGAGTTTCACTGCGCTCTGATTTTATTTTCTGTGATTAGAGTTGAAAAAGAAGCAACCTCCAAAGCCTGTGTTTGGCAGTCGTTGTCAAATGGCTGTTTTGGTACTCAAGTGGCATTCTGACACCTCAGTACTGGCATGCTTTTGTCATGTTTAAAATGAAAATGAGTTCATGGATTTCTATCTAGTTCCTTAATATTCTCTCAACAGTCAAATATAAGTGATTTATAATCTTGGGACTTCCTGAGGTCCTATTATGAGCAAGCAATGTAGGTGTTTTGTTTTGTTTTTTTTTTTTCCAACTGTGTTTCAGGAATTTCTACCACAGGCCCCCTGGGCATGGGAAGCACAACCACCAGCACCACTCTCCGGACCACTACCTGGAACATAGGGAGGAGTACCACGCCATCCCTACCAGGCAGAAGAAACCGCAGTACCAGCACACCGTCCCCAGCTGTGGAGGTGCTGGATGACATTACCACACACCTGCTGCCATCTGCAGCCTCCCAAATTCCAGCTATGGAAGAGAGCTGTGAAGCTGTGGAGGCCCGGGAAATAATGTGGTTTAAGACCCGTCAGGGGCAAGTAGCAAAGCAGCCCTGCCCAGCAGGAACCATCGGTGAGCCTGCCCCTGCCAGCCTGGCCTGGCCTGCCTTAATTTTGTGTTCATGCCTTCATATTACATTCTTTTTTTTTCCCTTTCCTTTCTTTCTTTCTCTCCTCTTGTCTTCTTTCCTCTGAGTTCTCTTCCTTTGGTCGTTACCATCTATTTTATTTATTACAATTTGATTAGGTTATGAGCTCAACCATATGAGTGCTGTATGATCAGCATTTGATAGCAGAACCTGCAGAAGCCACAGGTGAGAATTTGGTAGAAATACCTTTGTATAACAGTTTGCCGTGTTAGCTCTGGGGGTCAGATGATGCTCCACAGAGCCAGGCCCTCCTCACAACATCCCTCTACTGTCACTGGATTGTATCCAGGTTGTTTTGTGTTTCTCAGTGGTGGGTAAATATGGGTAGCAGAAGTTGAGCTGTGTGCTCTTCTACAGTGCATGATGACCATGGATCACATCTTACATTTAAAAAAGGAGAAAGCATGAATGTCTTTTTCATCAATTATGTAGTTGTTCTTTAGTGGCAAAAGGCATGTGACATGGTCATGGGCCTGCTATCAGGAGCTATCTCCCACTCACAGCATTCAATAAAGAACAATCCCCTCTGCTTCTTCTAAGAAATAGTTAAGAACTAAATACCTCTGAATCTGTTTTATTTCTGCTATAATTTATAATATTCCCAAGGTTGCAGTCATATTTACCATTTTTAAGACAAATATACTGCCTTGCTTGACATTTGTGTTCCCCTTCATAATACTTGACACACTGAAAATATTTGCACTATTTCTCAAAATATGTGAATAAAATAAATGTACAGTTGCTGTATATACATATACTCCTATAGACTGTCTTTGGACATTATTCACTTGTTTTCTTTAACCATGTGGGTATGTCACCCCAGATTCCATAATACACGGAGTGTTGGTAACACTAGAGAGTCTTGTTTAATATAAGCACCCATTTTTTCATTTTTAACAAAGTGCTTAAAAATTCAGCGCCATTCTTTTTTCTTTCTGAAAAAGAATGGGAATATGTGTTTCTAAAGTTATTTGTTACATTGGACTCAGAAAGCTATTTAAGACTAACTTCTTTCTTATATCTAAAGTCAGTTTCTTCCTCTCTGAAAAAGAGATGAGAGCAGCCTTGGTGCTCTAGACACAGCCTGTGAGCATCAGTAAGAACCTGCATTTGAAGATAGATCAGTATTGTGAAAATTGGGGAGGCGTTTTAGTGGAACCCTTCTAAAGCTCTCCCAGGACTTAAATGGTACTGCCAGTATACTGAGCCCCAATTTCAATAGCTCTCTGCATTCTCGTTAGACCCCAAGGCCAGGCCCACACAGGTTCTCATGGAATTCCAGTCATAGCTGCTGCACTTTAGGCACAACTCCATTCAGATCCACCCTCTATTTCGCTGCCAGGGATGCTTTTCTGAAACCTGAATCTAACCATTCTTTTCTTCTTAATGATCTTCACTAATTTCTAGCATAGTAGACAATGGGTTTAATGGTCCAGCTTCCTTGACTTTCCATTTTGTTAATGTTGACGTCTGCCAAAAGCCATATGTCTCCTCTACTCAAAATGGCCTTTCCTACCTTGTTTTCCTGACAACCTTCATTGCTTACCCCTGCAGACTCAAACAAAAGGTCCATGAAGACAAGCTATCCAAGGTCGTAATTCATGAACCTCTTCCCTACATCCACTATGGTTGCCAACAAGACTCTAAAAACATTGAATCCTTTTAATTTATTGTTCAACATTTGTCCAATGCCATTTACTTTCAAAACATTGTATCTGAGTTTAATAGACACTACCTCAATACAATTATCGAAGTTTTATCCTTGCTTATACATATGCATAGCGAAGACTGAAGCTATTCTAAGAAATGTGATTTGAGTATTTGAAACAGGAGTGTTACTTTGTTTCTATAGGTGTGTCGACTTATCTATGCCTTGCTCCTGATGGAATATGGGATCCCCAAGGACCAGATCTCAGCAACTGCTCTTCTCCTTGGGTCAATCATATCACACAGAAGGTAAATATGAAACCCACAAGGAAGGCTTAGCAGACTCTGTCTCTTGGTTGTTGATGACTAGTGCCGAAAACCAAATAGGATACTTTTAAAAGTAAATCCACAACAGTTCTTTATTTTAATAGAATTTCAATGTAAAAGACAACCTCTAACACATTATGTGCTAATTCCAGGATTCTGTTGTTTTTAAATTGCAAATCCATGAACTTACTCTAAGCCAGGCATTATTATATTTATAATGAGTTTATTATTAATCACATTTCTATCTTGCCATGAGCTGTATACAGATACAAACATCCAAGAGGCACTACCCATTAAGCAAGCAATTTTTTTTTTTTTTTGCAAGCAGAATTTTTAAGCCTACATACATTTGGATTTTCCCTCTGGAAATAATAAAATAATGTAGAAAGCTCTACCTCTGGAATCCTAAGCCACTTGCTGAATGTTGTGTAGCCTAATCATCTATCAGTGCTAAAAGTATACACATGTGTGACGAGATCTTCAGACTCAAATTTGAGTTTATTCAGTTGCAATATGTTGAACATTTTTATTATTAATGTGCTGTGGGGCTTCGAATTGATTTCATTACAAACAGAGACCAGATGTGCATTTATGCCAAAAGGGCTATGGGAAGGATCCTTATTACAGCAATTTATGTGGATTTATGCACTCCTAAAATGAAGAGTCCTTCTCTGGCACATTAGCCATGCTGTGGAATTTCTGAATTTTTTCCCCCTGAAAATATTACAAATGATGGCCTTCCTAAAAGCCTGCCTGTGCCATTTACTCTGTTCTGTATTTGTTTTTAACCAGGCTTATCCTCAATAATATTTTGTATAATAATCCATAAATACCTATCCAGCAGATCATTTCACAAATGAGCTATCACTATCTGTGCACCGTCGATCAAGGAAGAACTGTGGTTTTACTGACCCTGTGATTCTTTTACATATGCATCTCCATACTTGTTGCTATTCATAATGACGCTTCTCCAATTTCAGCCCTGTTTCTGCCACAGCTTTTATGTCCTTTGATTTTATTACAATGTAGCTCAGACCCCGGGGCAAATAACTCTCACTGGATGTGACCAGACTAAGAGATCAGCAGCATATCTTTTTACATTAGCAACTTTAAAAAAAAGTTCCCTAGATACTTAGCCCAGGGGTTAATATAAATTCAATAATAATTCACCTAGAAAGCTGAGTGTTTTCATGATAATTTCTGAATATGGTTGGGCTATTTCATTGCAGAAATTACCGGGTGACTTGAACCGATAATGATAGTTAATTCCCTTCTTTCCTCTGCAGCCCTGCTAATCTTAGGACAAAAGAGATAATTCCTTTTAAAGACCAGACAGCTGTTGCCCATTTGATTCATGGAGGAGATGTTTTTGTCTTATAATAAATAGGTCTTGTTCATCCGGAGCGTTTCTGTTTAATCCTGATGAGTCTATGGAGTTAGGATAGATTATAATTACATTCAAATTAAAGAATTTAGTCAACTGGAATTTATAACAATGAGTTAAGTTTATGAAGTCCTCAGAAGAATCTTTTGAGGCTGTCTCCAGCAGCCTTCATCAGGGAGGCTCGGGGAGGCTGCTTCCGATTGCCCACTCTGTCTTTGACACAATCTGCTTGCACATGCACTGGCCAGCCTGTGACTCAAGCATTCTCACTTTCACAGCCACATGGACTCCCCAGCAGGCTCTTTCACTTTCTCCACCCTTCCTTCCTGGCTGTGTCTGTTTTATGTGCCACTCTGAGTCTGACTATTACCAGGATCGAGTTCTTTTCCTACTTCCTCACTCCCTTTCCTTCCCCTTCCCCATCTCCTCCCCTCCCTTCCTTTTACCTTTCCATGGCATCTCCTTTGTGCTCATTGTCTACCCACGCCCTCCTTTTTTTTTTCTGCCATTGTGTTTTGTTTTGTTGTTTTGTTCTGCCTGCTAGGTTAGAAGGTAGAAGAAGAAAAAAAATAATATTATATTGTCCCCCCTCATCTCACTGAAACAGAGTCCTTGTCTATCTGTGTAGAAAGCTTGGGAGTGAAAAGTTCCCTGAAGCATGATGCTCCTTTGTCTTGCCTTATTTGGCTGTCATAACAAAATGCACAGACTACGTGGATTATGAACAACAGATGTTATTTCCTATTGCTGGGGAACCTAACATTGGGTTGATGGCAGATTCAGTTTCTGGTAAGGGCCAGTTTTCAGGTTGAGCAGCTGTTTGATACTGTTTTCATAAGAGTACCCATCCCATCTTTGAAGGCTTTGACCTCAAGACCCTTCTCTCAAAGCCACACCATCTAATCACATTGCTTTCATAGAATACAATTTATTTTGATGTTTACGTATAGTCCATAATAATTCCCCACTTGGTTTTATAGAACTGCTAAGGAACACCTGGGGACTTGAATGGAAAGGGCACTGGCCTGAAGATTTTTATAGCTGAACTCTAGTGGATAAGACATTAACCTCGTCATTAGTCCCCTCATCTGTAAAAGAGGATAGATCCTTAATTTGAATAGCAATGTTTGCTTTATATTTATTAACACTATTATTGATGACAATTGTGCAACTAAAAAAAATACTAGGAATAACTAAAAAAAAAAACTAGGAGGCTTTATTTAACTGAACAAAGCAAACTTATTTCCATTAAAATATGATTTATGCTGTTCTCCCATCAATCAGTCTAGAAGGAAGAAAACAGGCAATGAATATTGGTGGTTGGGACTTGCAAATGAATTCGGATTACTTCTATACTGACACAGTTAAAGAGTAAATTTTATGTGACAATGGAGAATGGATTACATTTCATTAGAGAGAAGGTGCTACAAACTCATGAATGAATTTTTTATAAACAAACTAGGTAAGGTACTTCCATAATGATTATATTTAATTTTAATAAGTATACTCTGTACAGAAAAGGGGAAGAAATGATGCCCAGAGGATCTTCATTCCAATGAGAGGGGCTACCTAAAAGTAGGAGGAGAGAAAACCTCATCCACATGAGGGATGGATGGCTGGAAATACGGATAAATGTACGGATGAAAAAGTAAAAGGGCCGGCGGTGATGGCCCACGCCTTTAATCCCAGCACTCGGGAGGCAGAGCCAGGTGGATCTCTGTGAGTTCAAGGCCAGCCTGGTCTACAGAGGGAGTTCCAGGAAAAGCACAAAGCTACACAGAGAAACCCTGTCTTGAAAAACCAAAAAAAAAAAAAAAGTAAAAGGAAGACAAATGTGGAGACATTTAGACATTTATAGACAGATACATATTCCAACTGACTCAAAATATTTTTCTTTACTGAAAAGAAACATGCTAGATCAGAGTCCAGCCTACTGAAATATTTGTGGTAACAAATCTTGTTCTCTTATCCACTTTAATGATGGCTATAAAATTATCTCTGGCATCAACTTACACTCCATATTGAACTCAACATCTCAAAAACAAAATCTGTGTTTTCTATTTTGCATACCTTTAGATGGTTTAGTTTACTTAACAAATTACTTCAAGAAAGTTTTCTCATATACGTTTATAGTGCTTAGTTTCAGTATTCTTATGGGTAGTGGGATTGTTTTGTCTTCATAAATAAAGACTTCTAGGTATACTTTTTTTTGATTGTTTATATTGAATTGGATTTCTTTGTGTAACCCTGGGTGTCCTGGAACTTGCAGTGATTGTCTGGACTGTGCCTCCTAGAGCTAGGATTACAGCTGTATACTATCTCACCCAGTTTAAGCAAATACCTCTTGAAACTTAAATATGGTTACTGTTTTGAAGAGAGCCCATTAATGTTTGAGTGGATCCCACAGCTGCATCATTTTATCATCAACAGATGTACAAACAGGAGGATTATTCACTATTAACCTTTTGTACTGGGAATAATTGTATTTTGACTTAATAATTATTTGTTTTCAATGTTTCACAACTATATACAAAAAAATTAAAAATTTTATATAACAGAACAATAACTCTTCTTTGCATCTTATTTTCAAACCCAGTGACATAAAAGACTATGGTTATATTCTCCAACAAAAATAATGCATGGAATTGCAATATGAAAATACCAGTGCTGCTGTTTGTTTCTCAGTTTAATATTTTTGTTCTTTATATTAACCACTGATAGTTATTATGCAAATTAATTATTATATACGTAGTTTTAAAAATACTGTGTTGTTGAAAAACATATTTGGCCTGATTTGGAATCCCATCCTTTTTTCAACATGGTACACAGTCAAATCAAATATCTCCTGAAGGACATCTGCCAGATCTTTTCATAGACAAAAATACTACAGTAACAATAATACCAAAATGCAGCCCAATAACTAGCAAAATAAAACATTAGTAATTCTAATACTGTGCTTATTACTAAAAGAATAGAAAAAGTGGAGAAGTATAAGGCATGATCTGTCAATGACACACGGGATAAAAGAATGAGCTTTGTGAAGTTATAGGAACCACAGTTCTCATATATTCATGAACACAAGAAGAGTTTTGCAAACTTTTCAGCAAGTTTACCTGGATCCACTTTCTCTGGTGGAGTACTGGATTCAAATAGCTGGTGAGAACAGGAGATACAAGGTGCTCAGCTGCTTTGGAGATGGTGACGTTGATTCTTGGCCAGAGGACAGGAATAAAATAAAGGGGCGCTGGTTCGGTTTTTGTTCTTTTTCTTTTACATCTTCTGATTGAGCTCCCTTGCCTATAGAATGTCCCTCATATCTTAAGGGAACTCATGTTCTAGAATCTGATCCTGCTGCACAGAACTCGGCTTTCTTCCTTCCTTCCTCCCTCTCTCCCTCCCTCCCTCCCTCCCTCCCTCCCTCCTTCCTTCCTCCCTTCCTTCCTTCTTTTCTTTCTTTTTCTCTTTCCTTTTTTAACTCCCACTTTAAGTCCTATACTAAAATTCCTTTCTATTATGACCCATTGTCCGTGACATGCATTCTCTAAGCTCGCCAAAGTTCTCCACTGCTTTGGAGTGGTGGGGCTGGCTGTTAATTTGCACGGGACAGGGACAGTAGAACTCAGGCTACCTATAAGACATGACAAGACAGCCTCTGCCACTTTGAAGGACCTACTGCTTTCCTCTGAGTCACCAGCCTCTCACAGTTAATAACCGATTACTAATCGATGAATACTGAAATTCCCTTCTTCCTTCTTTCCTGTCTTCCATTCTCATTTTCTGTGCCCCTCCATCTCTTCCTTCCCCTTTCCCCCCCTCTTTTTCTTTCTTTCTGTACTGGCATTAAATCCAGGTCTCACACATGCTAAACTGAGCTATTTACCCAGCTCACTGAATTTTAGAATTTGTTGATTCATTAGATTCCAGCATTGAGTCTTTAACCATTAGTAAAAAAAAATCTCAGTCGGGTCACTTTGTTGCCATTTAAATGTAATTTTTGATCTACTAGTAAGCCTTGAATGGTATTTTGGTATATAATAAATTTATTGCATAGTTATTCTTGAATTCTGTAATGTAGTTCATTATATTTTACACATATTTTAAATATAAAGATCCTAAAGAAATTTATGAACCCACTACATTATAATTGATATAGTCTGTTCTTGTTTGCTCAATTTTACTGTAATAATTTCTTCAAAATAATGATTATATTTTAACAACTTTACTAACAGTAACAATCCTTTAATGTCTTTTTATATAATATGAATATATCTTTGTGAAATTTAAATATTACCAATAAGGATTTTTCTTTTATTTCTGAATTTTCAAGCTTTCGTTCACACATTTAAGTATATTAATAGACATAAATATATGTGTATATTTGAAATGTTTTGTAAGTAGTATGCATCTATATCTTAAAGATTGATGTCAATGGTATTAATCTCCTTCATACCTTTAAACTGTTGGCATTTTATATTTGTAATTGAGTGGTGATATATAGTCATAACCTCTTTTGTTTCAGTCACAGGCTTGATGGGATGCCTTTGAATGTTTAATTTTTGATGTTAGGAAATTATTTCTTATATCCAACAGCAATAAGACTTAGTATCAGTAGTTGGCTGTATACAAGAGCTATACAATTATCCAATCTTGGCAGTAGTTCATGGGAATGACATTCATTTCCAAAATATTGCCAGTGCTTGCTATTATTATATTTCACTTTTGAATTTTTTTGTACATATATGTGTGTATGAATGTAATTGCAAATTATGTAGATGTTCTGATCACTCCAATTTACTTATTTAGAGTTTTTTTTATTCATTTTGTTTTTAAGTGTTTGGTCCTGCTGTGAACATGAAGCATTCCCTAGTGAACCTTACATTACTTAGTGCTCTAATCAGTTTGTGTCTCTCTGAATAATCATTGGGAAATTGTTTACAAAGAGATTTTTGTTTTGTTTTTTGTTGTTGTTATTGTTTATAATCTACACTGGTAGTCTTACAAGAGCATGAGAGAATAAGAAAACCAATCCGTACATATGATACTCATACATTTATAAAGCGATGGAGTATGTTATAGTTTAGAAAGATTCACATACAACACTCTCTGGGTTTTCATTGCATTCTTCATTATGAAAATGTGCTGTATTATTGTTTTTAGATACTGAAATTATTATTTAAATTTAATTCTAAGAATTTAAAAAATGACAATGAACACTATAAACTGGGAAGTGTTACTTATCTCTTAAAATTTTTTCTCACATTATTCTTATGAGTGAATTTATTTTTGTGTTTTCTCAAGGCAGCCAAGTATATTCAGGAAGTCATAGAATATTGTCTTTACAGTATTGACAATTTCGTATGTTTTTAAGTATGTATTTGAAAAACCAGCATGTTTCAGGAAGGGGAAATACAAGAAACTTGGGGAGTAATTTGCTACACGACGTATTGGGAGAAAAACTTCTTCGGAGTTTTGTAAGAGCATCAAGATCATATGGAAAGCAGGGATTTTACTGAGAGTAAATTTCCCTGATCTCAGAAAGCCATGAGTTCACTTAGTCCACCTTAAGTGCTCCTCTCGGCGTGAAGGAAAGCATGGACACCCTCTTGAGAATATAGACTAGGGACCCACAAGAAGCTCTTGCTGAAGTCCAATTTCGAGACTGACAGAGAAAATAGTGGGGCACACCTCAGACTTAACCACCCAAATGACTAACCCTGGTGAGAAATGGTCTCTAGAAGGAATTTTCCTCAGAAAGCCTCTTGAAGACATGACTTAGAAGTCAGGCTTCAAAGAAAAGGATGAGTTATCAGGAAACATTGTGGAGTGCTGTGAGGTGAGGGTGGGATTTAAAAACTGGTTCTTGCCTCAAAAATTCTAGCAACAAAAACAGTTGCTAAGGGAGACCAATGAAAGAATTCATGGCAAACATGTTTCCTTTCCATTCACATTGTAGCTAAAGTCTGGAGAAACAGCTGCCAATATCGCTAGAGAGCTGGCGGAACAGACCAGAAATCACTTGAATGCTGGGGATATCACCTACTCAGTCCGTGCCATGGACCAGCTGGTTGGTCTCCTGGATGTCCAGCTCAGGAATTTGACTCCAGGTGGGAAAGACAGTGCTGCCCGCAGCTTGAACAAGGTGAGACCCTCAGCTGTGTCTGTCTTTCAGTTTGAAGTAAAATCATTGAGACGTTCTTGCTTTTTTTTTTTTTTCCCGTTCTTCTGTCAAGTTGCACGGTTCAAAAAAAGAACCCATCCTTTCATTCAATTGACTTGACTATTTCGATTACGACCTTACTTGACTTTAATTTAGAGAAATATGTGGCAGTCTCTTCATATGCGTTTTGTGTTTGCAATTCTCCCTTTGGTAGTACTGTCTCAGTTTCTTTTTTTATGCTAAATTGCGGCAAAATTAATGTAGATGAATGCAACTGGTTATTGTTTCCTATAAAGTCATCTCTCAAAATAATTGATAGTGTAAGGAGTATTTAATCAGGAAGTGGAAATTTAAGAAACATTAACAAAGGCATGTTAAAATCAATTTTAGTTTTCTTTTTATTTCTCATTGAATATTTTTAATGAGATAATTTAACCTACCTAATATTACTTTTAAAAGCAGCTAGGGCAAGGAATTGGATTTTAATATACACTTCATTTTAATTTTTAAATGACTCAGATTTTTGTATCATTACCAATGAAATTTTGAGTGTTTTATTTATGCAAATTTTAACTTTAAATAAGCAAATTTAAATATGTTACATTTGAGAAAATATACTGTATTTTAATAAACATTTCATTTGCATAACTATATATAAATTGTAAACACAAAGTACATGTTGCATGTTTATAAAGAATGTCATTTATATGTATAAAACTATTACATAGTAGACTAATATGGTGTCAAAAGGTTAGCATCAAATGAAGATGCTCACAAATGGCATAGCTGAATTCTATGGCCTGGGATGTAAACATAGTCTTTCCAACTTTAAAAATAGAAGATTTTGACAGTTGAAGACTAATGTTCCGATAAGAAATTCATTTTTAAAACATTCTTCTTTTGACTGAAAGAAAAAATTAACATTATCATTCAACATTAAAAAGCCAGATTTTTTTTCTGTCAGATAGCTCTTGCTGCAGTTTCTTTGGTAAGCAAATGTAATTTTAGTGTTTATTTATTAAATATAATGTATTAGGTTTCTTGGTCATGCTGAGCAAGAAGGAGTTATTGTTTGTTTGTTGTTGTTTTTTTTTTTTTCACTTATATCCTGATAGAGTCATAACCAAGCCCCTGATGGAATAGTCGACAGCTGCCTATATGCTGTGGCATGCTGTGACTTTAATGTGTTATTACCCTCACTGACTTGATCCTACTAATGAACATGGCTTCCAGCTATTCTTATCATAAAGGGTTGGGAGTACTGATTTCTATTAATGTTACACATCCATAACATGACTTGTTTGTTACTGCAATACTTTGTATCTTTATTTAAAAGTGGTGTTAATGTCTGAGGCTATCAGGTAAAGCTGGCAATTAATGTCACATTCTAACTGGCTATAGCTAATCAGCTTGCCTAGACTGAATATCAAATAACTACATAATGGGCAAATTTCCATTCCTGGGGCTTTTTAATGCTCTCTTTTGTTTCCCATTTGGCTCTCTTCAATTGTTTTTATAATGCAGTTTGTCATATGTTAATTTGCATGAAGGGGTAGGGAGATGGGAGGGCAAAGGTTACTCATGTGCTTGCTGGCTTGCTCTCATTTCCTGTGGTTCCTACTTTCCCTGAAGCAGTTACAGCCCATCAGATTTGCAAAGTCAACTAGGTACAAATCAATTGCACTCCACATTGAAATTCTGGAGAGCTAAGAGTCCTACATAACTGTGATGTGAGTCAGTGATCTGAATGACAGCATTGGTGATTCACTTGCACTCATTGCTGACTTCTTCTTCCGCAAAGTTCCTGCTCCCTCATTGAAGAAAGCAGGAATTAAGCTTGGTACAGTATTAGCTAGTGAGCTACACAAAAAGCGTCAGGGTAACTGCTCCCTAAAACTGGAGAAACTCTATTTTGCAATTCAAGGCTAATGACCAAGGGAACTGAAAAACACAGGGGAAAATGTGAAAATCCCACAGTCTGATTTATAAAAATTTGGGTCATTCATTTAAACAGTGTGAATGAATGGTTATTGATTATTCATTTTAACACCAGGGGAAAATGTTTTGGGCCTCAATACAATCTTCTGTCAACAAAAACAAATTAAATCAAGCTTCTTTCCCTACTAGTTTCTAAAATGTTTTCTATTTTGGCCAAGACTGTCAAACCCAATTCTTTAAGAAATAAAAGAAGCAGCAAGTCAGGAAATGAGTCACATTCTATTAATCTCAAGTTATCTGACTCTTGATATTTGTCCCATAGGGTTAAAAATAGTCACAATGAATGGGCATTTCTATCTTCCTTATAATAGGATTTTTGAAGGTATGAATGAACACATAGTATGAACACACACATCCACCATATAGACTGTCTTGAAAACCACACATAATCTCTCTTTAAAATAATGGGTTCCAAACCTTTTGCATAATTGACTTACCATCTTACGTTTCCACTTGTGGCTCATAAATGAATGACTAACCGGATGTGACCGGGATCATTTCACATGAATGTATGTTGGTTTGTACTAATTTCTACTAAATGTATTCAAAGGCTTCTTTCTATCGACAACTTCCCACCACCTGGTTTTTAGGTGGGCTGTTCGGAAAAAAGGTTTTTGGCTGCTATAGTGCTGCTGCGTAGCCTTCATTTTCTTCTATAAAAGTCGTGAATCAAAAAGTAAGGTGTTGATGTAGATGTTTTCTTTTATTTCTCTGTCACTAACTCGTTTTTTCTATTCTGTGTTTAATCTGCTGTCTTAATGGATTCAGCTTCAGAAAAGAGAGCGCTCTTGCAGAGCCTATGTCCAGGTACTTTCTGTGTTTTTCTAAATGTGTTAAGTTGTTGAATTGTCTCTGTTGGTGATCGCATGTACGGGCATCTGAGGAAAAATGATAATGTGCCATATTGAACTAAAGGAACTTCTGGGAGGGCGTGCAGGGTGGGAATGGAAAAAAAGGGTCTGTGTTAAAAAGAAAGCTGACAGTGCCAAGTTCTGTCAAGCACGAGAAACAGACTAGAGAGAAGGTGCAGCTTGAGGCATGGAACATTTTCACCTAGGAGCTGAGTTTAATATAACATATAAATCTCTGTTTTTTCATAGAGTCGCTATACAGATTTGACTTATACACTGAATTGTTAGTTCATTCAGAGTAGAGTCATATAAGGCAAGACACAATATGAGATTTTTGAAATAATCTTAGTTCTGTTTCAACATAGAACTCAAGATGCCAGACAGGGTTATGACTAGGTTACTCTCTCATTGAGATCATATGTAAATATAATTTTTATCCAGGATGGAAATTTAGTTTCCTAACAGTACTGTTCTCATGGTCTTACGGTTTAGTGTAAAAGAGAACATTACTCAGACAAGCTGGGTGTCTTCCTGGGTTTTGTTTTACCTGTTGCTTTGTGGGGAGGCTGGCTTTTGTTTATTTATTTGTTCGTTTATTCCAAGCTAGAGTTTCTCTTTGCAATAGTGCTAACTGTCCTTTGTAGACCAGGCTGGCCTCAAACTCACAGTGGTCCATCCACCTGCTTCCAGAATGCTGGGGATAAAGGTGTGTGTCACTACCCCTACCTTTGATTTTGAGTCTGTGAATTTCATGATCTCAGTATGCAAATCACAACATTCTATTGAAGCAAATCCATCTATGTTTAGAAAAAAATGACCCCAGGAGCCAAGTCAGCTTTTGTGAAGATTGGCAGTACCAAATCAAAACCTTAACAATTTATTCACATTTGCATAGAATATGGGAACCTTGGCTTTGTCTCCCCATACCCTTAATGGCTTAGTTGCTGTAAACATTAGGTATCAATCTGTTCATTTGTGTCTCCCCAATGATCTGAATATTCACATCTACTAACTTTATGGCTAGTATAAAGCTGGGGTATTGATAATTAGAAAGCTGTTTAGCTAAAATCATGTCAGAAAAACAAGATGACCTTAGGAGAGAATCACTCAGGTTTTTAAGATACAATATAGGTAGACATCCTAATGAATGAGTATGACATCTGTCTTTGCTTAGTCATTTGTTTAATTTGACCACCATTATTTTTTCTTGCCCCATTTAAAAAAATACATGAAATCAATCATTTCCTCAAAAGTGTTAACAAACAAAACAAATGTAATCTCTGCCCTGAGGTTTTATCATCTGGTAGACAAAATTGATTAGTTAAACTTCCATTCTTCTTCCTTTAGTTAGCATCATATTGGGGAAATATAAAATGTACCTTGAGTAGATAAGGTATTTTCCATGTCTTCTCAGCCACTCAAGGGTGCATTGCAAGTGTTAGCGATATTCCAGTTAATTTTCAGACAAACAGAATTAACCAGCTTGTTTCCATCTGTAAGGCGGGGATATATATATTGCCTTACCTATCTCTAGTGTAATGGCCAAGGCCCTTTTAACAAAAAATTGATACCATCACAAGAGAAACGTCAGACTAATTTATTAAAGATGAACTGGATGTGACCCGGAAGCCTATGAAAAAGAATACCCAGAGAGGCAGAGAGACCTGTGTATTTTTGTGCTTAGGTGTTAAGAGGAGTAGGGCAATTGAGGGGTAGTGTGCTTGCATAAAGTGAGTGTGGTGTAACCTCAGGAAACTGAGAACATAGCCGGGACTGTTCACTTGAGTTCGGACATCTTTCAGCCTTTGATTCTCTTCTTTGAAGGCAGACAAGTGTCTCTCAAATGAAGACCTACAATCTGCTTCAGAAGAAGGTCATGAAAGTGTTTCTTTCGATTTTGTGACTTGTTTCCTTGTAGAAAGATTGGTGGGCCAAGTGCAAGTAGCTTTCTACCTCTGGTGATGTCTCAAATGTCGTGGTGCCATAATATGGGGGGGGGGGGGGTAGGATATTCTGTCTCTAGTTTTATTAATTTCAAACTTGGTTTATTTTTTAAAGGAAAACATAGGATAGAAATAAATCGTGTTCCTGTCTTATGAGTTGCATTTTGAGTCTGAAGGCCTTCTTAGCATGGGGAAATAACAGCATTTTGTGAGAATCATTTAAAAGAAAAAAAAATCTAATTTGATGTTGAAGATTAAGGAGATTATCTTTGTATTTGCATTTACTTTATGAAACGAATTTCTGTGAATAAGAAAATATTAAGGCTTATTTTCTTAGGTTTTAGAAAAGCATCCTTTAGGGAAGCACAGTGTGAGAGGTAGGGGAAGAACTCCCATCACAGAAAGGTGGGGAGCAGAGCCTGTGGCAGCCCTGCCAGGATTGTTTTCCATTGTGCTCTGTGCTATCCTTTTAATGGGACTTTCGGGATAATTAGCTTTCCAGTATTTAAAACTATGAAATGCATGGTCATTCAGACATGAATCTCCAATGGAAAATTAATAGCACAGTTTATTCAACAGCTGATTTCCTGGTGTTACAATTGACTAGCTGTGAATAAATGTTTCAGCTATTGACTAAATATCTGATGAGACACAATACACACAGAGGCCACTGGTGATGCAGAAATGCTCTGCTCGATAATACAAGAAGCTCCTTCTGATCATGTTCATGTAGACTGCTATGCCAGGAAGTTTTACAGTCAATGGTGCTGGACAAACCCCTGGAACTGACTCATGAAGAGGAGTTTTATTTTACCCATTGTTTATATGTTCAGATCATACTTGGTGCCATCTCTGAAATAGGTGCCTGATATACTGGAAAGGCTTTTGGTCTTCAGTCTAACATGATTACTTCTCATTGTGCGTTTCTACAAAATGTGGCCTTTCCATTTACATTGGACAAGATCCTTCTAGGGATGTGTTTGACTATCTGAATCCATTTATTTTTCATTCATTATTTTAAGAGCAGGAGTCTATTTTATGAATTATAAATATTCATGCTTTATATTTTCTTGTTTCCTACCCTTTATTCTATGAAAAAAACAAAAGCACAATGAAATCAGACCTGCCAACTATCAATTATAAATTACCAGTATGTGAACAGTTTAAATTGGGATGGGTTTGAAAATAATACATGAATTCCAGAAATAGTAAATTTACATTCTAAAGTTTTAAAAACAGGAGTCCAGTACAGTTTACTTTTCTTTATTATTTGTGACTTTTATTATAGTAAATCTTTATTGATTGCTAAAAGATAAAAATTGATATTGCTTATAGTAAAAGGACATTAATTGGTCCTGTAGTATACTATTTTTTGAAGTTTGGTTTGATGATGCAGGCCTGGGCCCACTGTTGGTTAGGGAATTCAGGTAGGAGAATATCCTGGGCCCCAGAGTGACTTCAGTATCAGCCTGGGCAGTTTAGTGAGACCTTGTCTCAAAATAATAAGTAAAGAGACTGAGATATAGCAAGTAATAGAGCATTGTTTTTATTTATGAAGAGAATTGTGAATTCAGGGGAGATAAAACTGCCTTAGAAACATCATAAAACAACTCCTATAAAGTAATGTGACCAGACGGGGCTTAGAGATAGGGGGGTTTGAGAGAGGCAAAAGGAGATGAAAAGACAGGCTGAGGTACATAACTAAGACTGATAACATCAGTACTGCTCTCCTGATGTGCATCTTGTTTTCTTCCACACCAAGGTGAAGATGACGATGGTTTCTTATTAAGAATCAGGATATTTGGGCTGGAGAGAGGTTAAGAAGAGAGGACCTGGGTTTGATCCCCAATGTGCACATGGCAGTTCACAGCTGCCTGTAACTCCAAGAGGAGGGGATCCAATGCCCTCTTCTGACCTATTCAAATATTGCATGAATGTGTTTCACAGACATACATGCAGGCAAAACACTAACAACATAAAGTAAAAAAAAAAAAATAAAGTTAAAAAACATTTACTAGGTCAGGTATGTGGACACTGTCGCGCAGAACACTTAGTATTCTCTATTATTTGTGTATGTTTTACTTTGAGACAGGGTCTCCATGTGTAAAACAGGATGGCCTTCAGCTGAGTTCTTCCTGCCTCACTGTCGTGCACCCTAAGATCACAGGCATGAGATAAGTTTTCATTCACTCTTACTCAATATTTGTAAGAACTTTGTGTCATGGTTCTTGCAATACATTTTGTTCAAAGTGAACATGGGAACCCACAAAGAGTTCATTGATTTCCATGAAATCACGGAGGTCAATGACTGAAGAGATGTGGAAAGCTGAAGCTGATTTGAAAGCTTATGTGCATTGACTCCTAAGGTAAAGTAGCCTTCTGACTTGCCTCATCAATGTGTGGTAGGAGGCAGGATCTAGCATTTAGTGTGTAGTAATTGGTGTGTGTGTGTGTGTGTGTGTGTGTGTGTGTGTGTGTGTGTGTGTGTGTACTGTATTCCAGATAAGATAAAGTAGCCTTCTGACTTACCTCATTAATGCGTGGTAGGAGGCAGGATCTAGCATTTAGTGTGTAGTAATTGGTGTGTGTGTGTGTATGTGTGTGTGTGTGTGTGTGTATACATACTGTATTCCAGAGCTGGACTAGAGTGAAACAAACCCCCTTCCTTCTCTCCCACGTGTACACAAACTGACACCATGCACCCATGTCCAGTGCCTGTGTAATCATTACTTTGTACTGTTACATTAATTTCATACACACCAAAATTTGATTGCGAGGTTCATTCACATTCAAAGGAGACCCCGGTTTAAACATGTAGTTTTAAGAAAGGAAAAAGCTGTTAAAGGAGCTATCAGACTGTTTTCCAAAGTGACGACCCACATTGGGTTTCTGTCAGTTTTTCCAATGTCTGTCAGGTTTCCAATTCCACCCCAATTCTTTTTTTTTTTATTATTATTACTTACAAATTGTATGGCTTAATGACTCAGGCTTCTCACTAGCTAGCTCTTATAAC